AAAATTCACAAACAGAGATGCACAAAAACCTAGGAGTAACTCCATGCTCTTTCCTCCAAAGATCCATGACTTACTAGTGATTTGGAATTATTAGGTAGACTGGCTTAGATGGTACCTGATAAGTTTGAAATCATCTACAAAAGGGTATAATGTTGAGGACTGTTCCACAGAACCTAATTCTAGGCATCTAATATCTTCATCAACAATTGAGATGATGAACTTTTAAATGCTCATTACATTTTCAAAGGACAAGTTGGGTAGGGCTGTTTGTGAAACTTTGAATAGAAAGCAATATTACATTCTAAAAACGGGGAGGGGAAGTCTATTGAACAAAGTAATCTCCCACACATAAAAAGGCAGACATGCCCAGAAGAAAGGCCTGATGCCTTTTGTGGGGCACAGGTTGAAGAGGGGCTTCTTTTTTTTTTTTTTTAGATAATTGTGGTAATAGGATAGGGTAACAAGAGTAAAACATGAAGACTGTAGTGTAATTCATCAAGCATATTTCCTGTGGCCCAACAGGGGATAGTGGGCGTGAATTTTTACATCTATACCTGACTATCCCCCTACACATCATGGTCAAAATAAATTAAAACTAATGATTTTATGTATTTTCATATGAATAATGCTTTCACTTATGGGTCTCATTGTAATGGATTAAGGTAATTGGTTCTTATTCCACCCCCCTAATCATACAAACCAAAATTTTAAGCTAAATATTCTCCTTCTGTTTCTGTTTTGTTTTTGCCCTTCAGACTAATGATAGTAACTAGCTCTGAATGGCTGCTTCTGCTCAACTTCCCGGATGCTAGCAGTACCCGAGGATGTAAAGACCTTTTGACTATCGCTCATAGGTAAGTGACACAATATGTAAGTGAAGAAAGTAATTCTAGTCCCTGTTCTGCAGGTAGCTTCCTTTGGGAACTTGGTTAGGCCACTCCACCACTCTGAGACACAGTTTTACTTCTGTCAGTATGGATGATAATCTCTTCTTTGAGCTTAATGTTTTTGAGGGAAAAAATGAAATAATAAAAATAGCTAATATTTACTGAGCACTTACAACATGTTTCCACGGCCTCTTCTGCTAGTTTTAACATCTGTGTCTGCTCTGGGTTGGGAAAGTCAACTTTAATTGATTAATTATTCTCTTCAATCTGAGTCTTGATTTCTTACCTCTTTGCCTGCCTAGTTGTCTTTGATTTGGATGCCAGACATTGTGAATTACATATTGCTGGCTGATAGATATTTTTGTATTTTAATACATCTTCTTGAGTTTTGTTACTCAAGAAGGGATACAGACCAGGGGTGACAGCTCACCCCTGTAATCCTAGCACTTTGGGAGGCTGAAGTGGGTGGATTACTTGAGCCCAGATGGCAACATGGTCAAACCCCATCTCTCTCCCTCTCTCTCTCTCTCTCTCTCTCTCTCTCTCTGTGTGTGTGTGTGTGTGTGTGTGTGTGTGTCCCCAGCTACTCAGGAGGCTGAGGTGGGAGGACGGCTTGAGCCTGGGAGGCAGAGGTTGCAGTGAGCTGTGACTGTGCTAC